GTTTCTCTTCTTGTTTCTTTTCTTTTTACTCTAACAACTGTTGTAATTTCTCTTCTCGTTCTTCTTGTTTCTTTTCTTGTTCGAGCTGCCACTGTTGCAGGTTTTCTTGCAGCTGCTGTTGTCTCTCTTCCTGTTTCTTTTGCTGCTCTTGTATTGCTGCCATCAAGTCTGCTAAACTTTAGTTTGATTTTCCGCCTCTCGTTTCCATTTTTTTTTCGTTCCACTTCTGACACCAATTTGTTACGTCTCCGTTTGTTAATTAACTTTCCGTAACTTCGTTCTGACGAAACTTTAGCGACACAAGTCCTTACTTAATAAAACTGGTTTATTCTTTCCGAATACAACTTTACGATACACTCATTTTCAACAGTCGCTCTATAACAAACGCTATATCAATGAACGTCAACAATACTTCTGACTGCAGTTCAATTACTCACTATCTACACACACATTATCGTCTAGTTGTCACCCTCTTTTATATACGAGACTACCCTATATCTAGTAAATGCTAGAGCATTCGCCAAAGTACAAGATAGTTCTAGAAAGTAGAGGGCGTGAGAATAGTCACGTGATCTCGATGACGCAACAAGCCTTTTAAGTAAATTCCAAGCAAGAAATAACGTGTCATACTAAAAATTAAACATAATACAGGATAATAATCGTTTTAAAAAGCAAAGCATCATCAAAATAGAAACTTAACTCATTACATAAATAAATAATGAAAAAAAAAAGACCTGGTTAAGAATATGACAGTTAGATAAAAGCAATGAAAACAGGACAGCAGTAAGTCTAGAGACATACAACATTAAACTTCGATATTTCAATCCTCACAGTGGACACAACGGGTAGCCTAATGTGGCTTTGCTCCAAAATAAATAATCATACTAACTGAATGAAAAAAAGTCAAATGTCAGGCAAAATAACTCTTGTCAAAAGACCAACTATCTATCAAAGATATTTGACAAAAAATAAAGAATAACAAATATAAAAAATGAACCATAGAGATACTTATATATATATACATTACTTTTCTTATTAAAGAAAAAATATAACAAATATACACTTAAGCTAGGAAAATAAATATACAAAACTTACAACGTACACAGAATTAGCTCGAGGCTCTACATTCTTCCACTTTAACCCAATCAGTACATTCTCCAGTTCGGTTATTGTTTTACAGTTGACTGCTGCAGTGATCTTCAACTTATCTCTGGCTTTGGCTAGTACCCTCTTCATGTCAACCAGTTCTGCCCACAAATATTTCACTTTTCCTCGAACCACATCGGAATCATTGGCCTCATTAACAATCAGTCTTCATATCTTTGTTGTAGAATATCCAAGCCTCAGTGTAGTTAGTGGTCTCCATTATCCAGCGCTTCTATCCTTGACATCACCGAAAGTTCAACTTTTGGTGGTATAATTGTCGTGTAGTGTGCAGAGATTTCTTGGTCAGTGACTAAGTAACGTCAAATCTCACTCCTGTCAATCACCCACACATCATGTCGCGTATAGAAGCTTACCATGATGAGAGTGGCTTCAAACTTTCCACTTGCTGGAATTTTACGAGCACTTGTTTTTCTTGTCAATCTGCGGTTCGAATCCCCTTTCCACCAAATACACTCGCCCTTTCAGCCATGGGGGCGTTATAAAGTGACTGTCAGTCCTACTATTCATTGGTAAAAGAGTTGGCGATGGGTGGTGAGGACTAGTTGTCTTCCCTCTAGTCTTTCACTGCTAAATTAGGGACGGCTAGCGCAAATAGCCCTCGTGTAGCTTTGAGCGAAATTGAAAACAAACCAAATCGACTGTAATGTTCATATTTATAGTAGTTCCCATTTTCTGTCTTATTTGTGGAGAAGTATTTACTTTCCACAAGCTTTTATCTGCAGTTCCTGGAAATTCAGTTGTTGTTTATTTCTTTCATTCTGAAAATGCAACTGTCTAATTAATCTATGAGTTTTTTGAAACTTATCTCAGAGAAAACTAAGGTTGCCACATTATTTGATCTGATAATCTAATAATTCGTGAATGGTTCTTTTACTTGTATATCTAAAACATTAATTGATTTAAGTTCAGTTGCCAACTAGACAGTTTTTTAAAGGATGTTATCAATTTTGTTTTAGTCGAATTCACATATTCTCATCTAGTGTGAGGTATATAAATTGTTGGTCGTTTGTCAACGAATTTATCACTTCGCGTGGAGCATCTTGATAGTACAACTGAGCAAGCCTTTCTACATTTTCATCAAGCTCGGCTAAGATCTCGTTCTTCCTCTTTTGCCAGCTCCTAATCTTTGTTTAGAAACTTCTTTGTGATGTGATACTTCAAATATGTTTGTTAAGATAGCTACTAATGCTTAGTAGTTGCTAGAGTTGTAGGGAGATTGCTTAATGTTATTAAAACTGATCCTTTTAAATGTACAACAAGAGCTTTATTTTTCACTAGTCCACCCACTCACCTTGGGAATGATTTTAAACTGTGTCTGATATGTTTTTCAAGGTACCTTTTCATCATAATCTGTTCTTTCTTGTATTAGTCAAGGTTGTTGAACTGGCCTGCTAAACTCCGCATCTTCATGAGATGCTGGTGTAGCTCGAGTAGTACAGGAAGGTCAAATAGTTACAGGTGGCACAACAGTGATAGCAGTAAGTGTAGCCCAGATGGGTTTCCTTACTGCATATGGCACAGTTAATGATGCATGAGGTTGTAATTCTTGAGGGAATGCAGAGAGAGCTATAGCTGGATTTCTTCCAGCATTTGCCAGGTTAGCTTAAATATATATCATACTTTTGTGTGTCAGTGATACAATTTTATACTTTGTTGATTTTGTTTTCATAACTCTTTTGCTTTGTACTACATTGACGTCAATTTGTAATACTACAGTTCTGTCGCTATACTCCTTCTATCAGTTTTATCACAAGTCGATATTCTCTTCGATGATATTTACTTGTGTTTATAAAAATGAATAAAAACCCTATAGCCCGAGCGCTTTCGAAAGGTTGACCTTTCTTCTTCAGGGGCAAACTAATTTAGTCCCTAATTTAGAAGTGTAAAACTAGAGGAAATGCAGCTAGTCATCAC